GAATGTTACGTGAGCTCAGTACCGACACGTGCTTAGGTAGTGCCGATGATGTCACTGCTTGTATCTGATTCGCTGTGAAATGGGAAGACCTTGCATTACAAGCGGCCGCCGCTAGGCCTCGACAGTCGGCGGTAGGAACATATGTGACTCCTGTACCGGTAATGAAGCCTACCAGGTATCGGTCTTTGACTCCTGTCAATTGTGCAGAATTCTGTTTGGCTTTTATTTTTATTCCTATCGATCAAGGATCTGCTGCCGGAGGTGCTGCCAATTGCTACCGACTACGATATTCGTCACTAGCTTCCTCGAGTATTTTTATCAGGTGCTCCAGGTCACCGAGAGTACGAGTTTCTTTAGGGAGCAGAAGAGAGACAAGAGACAAGAGCATGGCGCCGGGAGAGTTCAATATTGTTTCAATGCTGTCATGCAGCGGGCCTTTCCCCTTGTCGAAGTTTCATCGACAAGAGCTTTCATAACCGTCACATCTTGGTCGTTTAGCGATCCCGATGTGATCCTGTGGATATAACCATACGTGTACCCATACCTACGATAGCCATTGGAGTTCAGCGGTAATTCTTTGAGATTTGCCAGCTATTGCAGACAATTTGATATTCAGTCGCACTAGAAGAAATCTCTATTTTGCTTCATAGCATGCTGCATGCAAGACCAAAGAACAGTGTGGTTTTGATGATGATATAGTATGGAGCAGGCCGAGTTTTCAGCTCTCGACTACGAGTAGAAGGTAGCATCTGATCACATGGTTTGATCGATAGTGATAGGGAGGGCAAGCAACATGCTGAACAGTATGTAGTCGATGTCGTGTACAAGAGAGGAGACTTTGTGTGCGCTACCGGTAAGGGAATGCCGAAGAGCCGCGAAATAAGTTTCCCATGCCCCACCATCCAGGGCGTCATCACGAACATTGACTGGGAGCTCCGAGCATCGAAGACTTCTTGTTTCACACATTTCACGGCAAGATGGAGCACGATACATTCACAGCAGGTATTTACTGATGGTTCACCCATATCTCCTTGCAAGACTAACTAGATCAGCACAATACAAGACTAGTGATGCGACATCTTTCGCGCATACGTCGGCGCGCGAGAGATGGCCTGTGATCCTTACCCAAGGCATTGATGATGTGCACCGCGCCACATATGGGACTACCAACGATGAGGCGCTGAGCGAAGGCAAATGGATCGTCTCAGAGCTGGCGAAGCTCAAATATGAAGTCCAGCACGACCGCGAACTCACACCAATTCCGGATGATGGACAGTCTGATGTTGCCGCGTATAATGAGGAACTGGCTGCAAGAGGCAACCCAAAGTGGCACAATGTCCCTTGGCTGTACGCCGAGTGCTACCTTTACCGGTATGCTATCTTCTACTCTAGTGTTGCTGCTTGAAGCAAGTGCTCATCGCCATAGCTAGACGCGTGTCGAGCATCTTCAAGCGGACCAAGCAATGGAAATCTTACGATCTCTTCGCTCGTCAGAAGATGTCCACATTCAAGTCATCGCGTCCTGCCGTTCTCGAACTTGCCGCTCGCTACAAAGACATCGTCACCGACCTGCGGGAGAGGCGCACATCGAGCAGCACACAAATATCAGAGCAAGTGGCGGAAGCAGAGAAGATTTTGTTTGTCGAGATGTGTGAGATTTGTTTGTGGGGTAATGCTACAGATCTGTCGCTTCTTACTAACCTCTCGTATGAAGACATACAAAAGCTACAGGGCTCAGAAGCAAGGAAGAAGGCAGAGAAGAATATTCTCGTCAATGATCTGGACAAGGTATTTGAGGTATTGAGCGCTGCTCGAAAGTCAGGATCGAAGAACCGTCGTGTCGACATCGTTCTGGACAACGCCGGCTTCGAGCTCTTCGTTGATCTCATCCTAGCTGGTTACCTAATCTCAGCTGGCCTTGCTACAACCGTCGTTTTTCACCCAAAGTCAATACCCTGGTTCGTCTCAGACGTACTGCCAGCCGACTTTGCTGCACTCTTGTCTGCTCTGGCCAACCCACAAGGCTTCTATAGCACACCCTCGGAGGATGAGAAGCAAGCTGGAAGAGAGCCGACTCCGCTGTCTGACTCCGAGCACGCGAACCTGCAATTCCTGTTTCAGAGCTGGAGCAGTATCTACGCCGAAGGTCAATTTGTTCTTCGACCAAACGACTTCTGGACGGCTGCTGGCAGCTATTGGCGTCTTCCCAAAACCCAACCGGAGTTGTACGAAGACTTGAAAGGGAGCGAGTTGGTCATCTTCAAGGGCGACTTGAACTACAGAAAACTCACGGCCGATGTGAGTCATACCACAGTCCAATTAAAATGCATATACTGACTATGGATAGGCCGCTTGGCCGGCAACGACTCCCTTCACAGAAGCGATTGGGCCTATGGGTCCCGGTTCTGGTATCCGCGTATCGGCCCTGCGTACGTGCAAGGCCGACGTCGTTGTAGGATTAAGAGAAGGAGAAGACGAGAAACTCAGAGCGACTGAAGGTGGCGGTGGAGACAGTGGTGCGAGAAAATGGGCCTGGAACGGCAAGTGGGCTGTTGTGCAGTTCTCTGATGGTAAGGCTTAGGAACAGGACATCATTTGCTACAGCTTGCATTAGGGCTCTCGCCTTTTCACCATAGAAGAACCTAGAAAACATTGAGTTTACACGGTGGTCTCATGCAGGTGGCTATGGCATGGCCAGAATCCTTCTCAGTGAAACTGAATAAGGTTCTAGGTCGCCTGCTATAGCAAAAGTCTAGAGGCTATAAAATAACATCATCTGTGCTTGACCATCACCACAAATGTGGCTAGAAATATCAAAACATCACATCAATCGCATACTCAATACAATGGCTGGCCCCCCTTTGCAATCGTCACGGTACCGGTAACTGCCGGGGAACCAGCGCCAACGCAAAATCTACGAAGGCACACGCCGCAGACTGGAGAAGGAGCGAAAAGCAGGGATAAGCTGGATAAGCTTTGCCTCAGCTGGATAAGCTTTGCCTCAGCTGGATAAGCTTTGCCCTGCGTTGGCCTGGCTGATTTACGAGTTTTTAGTGTGACGCTAATGTCTTTAGAGTTTCCCCAGGTTTTTCTACGGTGCGCTAGCACGGTCAAAAGGTTAAACGCTCGTAAGACGAATGGAATCATATCGCAGATACGCATGTCTGCCTAATATGTGTCGAAATAATTGCCCTCCTATCGTTATTTGCTTACCGGTATAATTCGCTTGCTTACAGGCGCGGGCCGAGAACGTCTCTTATATCCTGGCTTTCATGAGTTGTGTTAATGATTGGAGGATTAATATCTAAGAAGCCACGGGGCTATTACAGAGTTTTGGTAGGGGAGAACTTACGGCGCTGTTGCTGGAGATTGTCTGGCATATCATCGTGTGTTCGTTACAGTATCCGACAAGTAAAAAGGGTCAAATGTAGTGTGGATATGATCGTCTCTTGTCTAGTCTAGCAGGGAAATGGCTACCATATCTAATGCACGATCATAGGAAAGGCACACGTGATAACACAACCATGGCCATACCAATTGCCAGGTTGGTCTCCCGGAGTCCCGGCTGTTGGCCTTGCGGTCTCATACCAGTCACCACGGACGATTCACCTATCCCAAACGCATAGTACTTGAGTCGATCTCTTGTTCTCTCACTCCGGCTTTAGGCTCCACTAACTGTATCCTGGTCTCACGCAGAACTCGATTTTGACTTTGTGTGAATCAAAATAGTGCTTATGGAGATTGAGAGTCGAAGAAGGAAGTTAAGGTTTGGAACAGTATACAAGGGTCTAGATGTTCCTGCACACTCCAGAGTAGGGCTAACAGGTGCAGGACTTCCATCTCTCGCGTGGACAAAGGAATACGACTATATTCAGGAACTTGCAAGATTATAGAGTAGCCCCAACCATGGGATAACACAGGCATTTTTTCCTATCATAAAAAGGGAGGAGATAGGTACTGACACGTTGGATCTCGGTGAGCAAGGTATGCAAAGCTAATGCCGTCCTCGGTGCTGAGTATCTTTGTCATGGGGAGGCGTTTTCATGCCTATGGTGACGATCACTTGCATTTTCAATTTCTCAAGATATGCTGGGTTCTAGATCCTAGGCATGACATTCACTGCAGTGGACTATCGAGCCAGATTGGGATCATTTGAAGGCGCAGTCGGTGATCAGGGATCAGTTATTCGACCTCTACAAAATCTCGGGCAAATTGTAACCCCATTCAATGCTCATCTACAGCCTCTACCAAGACCCTACTAGATAATATTGGAATGCTACATAGAAACTTTAATGAGGATTAAGGGCCGGGTGAGACTTGGTGAATCTGTGTGGATATGGTCAAGATCACCGAGGGCATCTCTATATAAACGTGCACGTATTCATTTTGGAAAAAGCATCACGAAACAACAACTCCTCTCTTCCTATAACCAGTACCTTCCAATCACCTACGCATCAAGCTCTCAAACGCAACCACAAAAAATCACTTCCCTCCATCAACATGCAGTGTAAGCCCTTCGGAAACAATGCCCTTATTCAATCACAAGCACTACGGTAAAAAATTGTTTACTGTAGAATGGTACGCTAGGGGTTTACTATATAGGTGTAAACTGACCTCGTGTATACCCGTAAATAGGTTTAAAGTGGTAGTTTACTTTATTATAGGTGGTTTAAATTAAGTATAAAAAGTAGTTTTATATCTATTATACGCTATAATACCTAACTAAGACTAAAAAGGGTTAGAAAAGATTAGCTTCACGCTATA